GCCGGAGCCGAGCCTTGCTTCAGTCATCCGGGCAAGAGGGATAACAAAGAAAGTGTCCAAATATTTTATTCTTCACAAGTTACATTAACCACATATTACTTTATGGAGCATTTACAAATATTTTTTTTTTTTCTTTATCTTGATATTAATCTTCAGATATACCTGCTCACTCACACCACCAGGTCTCCTGAAAGGGCGTTTTCCATCTCACACCTACCCGCCTTCAGACCAGATACTTTTTGCCCGGCAGTCCGGCCGTGAACACACCTTCCCCACCAAATAACTACTTTAAAAACAATTCTGAGGTCAATATAAAAGCCTCTGGCCTCAACTAGCGACTTCTAAGGGAATTGACTAGTGACTTCTAGGGGGAACTGGCCAGAGCTTTCTGCTCGCCCAAGGAAGGACACGGGTAACTCCAGAGGAGCGGAGAGCTGGGGGTCGCTCGTTGGCTACAGGAGCTTTTTCCCCTCATCTCACACACTATAGCGTGAGGCATATATTATCCTGAGGCATAACCGCTCCTCACCAATCCCCCACGTTGAACCAGCAGCTGCTTGATTCCTTACTATCCAAGCAGCATTTTTATTCCTTCTGCTCTCTGCTCAGGCGCCCTCTGTTCCAACCATTAGCACAGTCAACCAGGTTGATTACTTACATGCATAAAAGACAGATTAAAAAAGCAGAAGAAGAAAAAAACCCCACTTTTAAACACCAAAAACATCGTATCTTTCTTACTGTCCACCTGACTAGTTCACAGATTGGATCATTCCAACAACAGAACCATAATTACTAAACACTAGACAATTTTTGTCAGGACTGGGATAGAACCCCAAGAAGCGTACCTGGAAACGCTCGCTAAAGGAGTCGTCGCACACGGGCACGTTCTTCCTGGCCAGTCCCAACCCGCCTGACACATTAACACTAACCTTTGAGAGGCGACCACCAAACTCCTGTGTATTAACAACGCTGGCAATGTTGCTACAGACCTGAATGAGAAACGCAGTGAATCTAATCAACAGAAACCCTGTTCCTGGAGGCAAGAAGATCCCGTGATCTCCAGAGTGTTCGAACACTACCATCTCGTAACTGGCAGGAAGATTAAACGGGGCAGGATGGGGGTTAGGTAGGACTTGAACACTTCTTTGAAGTGGCACGTGGGCAGTAAAGTGAAGACGTCCTGTAGTGAAGAGTGCATCGTTCTTCAAAAACGGGTTAAAAAATTCCCATGTAGCAAATAACATAGAAATGTAACAGTGTAGTTAATTTTCTGAGTTTCTTTAGAAAGGCTGTTGATGCTGGTTTGTGTTCAGCTTGCTGGATCTTCCAGAAGAAAAATAAGACTAGTGGAAAGGCTGAGGGGGAGGAGCAGGGATGA